CGTTCGTTTGAACGAGCATCGAGCATAATAATGTCAATATGGTACAAGTGGAATGAACCACTGTTTTCCTCGTCGTAGTCCAATGTCGAATTAAAACTAAAAACATTTTGTACTTTTTTATATACCAAATTATGCAATTTGTTTCCATTTTATTTTAATGTTACATGAATAGGTACATGTGTTTGTGCTGCGGTAAATAAGTGTTCATGTGAAAATTATCTCTTAAACTACTTACATTGTGATTGCACTCATCTCAAAACTGAATGCTGTAAATCCAGGATTTAAATCTTTCATAATGTTGCTTGGGATAAATTGTAAAAAAGGTGTTGGACAAAACGTTTACAACCTAAAATTGCATGAAAAACATGATAGAAGAAGGAATTTTACCTTTATGACATTCTCTTTCAACATTTTTAAGTGACTTTGTGGTTTGGTGAATGGACTGTTACCACAGTCAAAAGATTCAAAGTAAAAAAAAAGTGACCAAGTTCTAATAAGAATACATAAGTTGAATATGAAAATGTAATTACTTGATTTAAATGTGATTTAATTAAGAGTTAAATAGAGGTTTCATATAAACAAAGTGCTGTAAAATGTTAGTAAATGCAAAACCATTATTAAAGAGGAATTAGTTATCATCAATAAGATATTTTGTAGTAGCTGGTCTCTATAAATAATAAACTTGAAAGACTGAATTAGTAGTCACTTTTACACTAGAAGTAAAAACAAAAAAAAATGTGTGGTTGAGACTAATTTATGTATTTAATAAAAACATATTTAACATAAAAGCAGGTGTTATTTGAAATGTTTTATTTTAGTTTAATAATCTTTATAAATTGTGGGTACATTTGATCCGAATCTTGCAAATACTATAAAATGCATATGCTTCTATATGGTTAGTATTGGAGTAGAAGCACAAAAGTTTTGAATAAAAATATAGATACCGGAATACTTTGCTTGATTACTAAACTTTGGATGTTTTTGTTGTAGTCTGCTGTTAACACTATTGTCCTGAAATATTAAAAAAGCTAGACAAAGGTTTGTCCAACTCTTTTGTCAGCTTTGTTAATCTATGCTACTGTTATTCTGCATGCAGACATTTTTTACTGGAGATTTTCTCTAAGAACTGTATTCAGTTTCAAATTTCGGCCAGTTTTAGGAAAGTACCTCTGTTATAAAGGTATTTCAAATCCATCCTTTGTAAGATGTAGACAACAAATACATGCTAAAATGTATAGAAAACAAATGGCAAGATATTACACAAAATTATTTAAATTAACTAAAAACATACAAATGAAGTGAATAATACCTACCAACAATTTAAAAAGACCTAAAATAAATAGACTTAAGGGACTGGAGCTCTAAAAAAGGGAGCAATAATTTGTTATGCATTATCTATAAGAAAATTGTCTTCATCTCTTCAATTACCTTTTAAAATAAACAAAACTAAAACAGCACAAAATTAAAAGTGATCTACTTTTCCCGACGTATTTTATGTACATTTGAGATTAATAATTTATTAAATTGAAATATTTTATCCTAAAAAATATGGGCATTTTATAATGGAAATGTCATTTAAGAAATGACATTGATTTTTTTTCTTATATTGGTAAACCTGGCGACTACAAGTTGCCACGTTGCCAGATCAATGGCGACTACTATTTCGAAAAAAATGGCGTCCAAAATGGACTCCTATGTCGCGACCCCCTTAGATATACCAGCCCTGCGATATACATAAAACTGACATTTATTTTTACAAACTGTCCACTGCTGTCCACGTCTACTGTCTGTCTCAGTGTTGCCAACCGTACTATTTAAATCGGATTTATACAATTTTTTAACTGTCTGTACGATGGCGATGTACGATTGCATCAGTGAGATCGTATGTAAAAATACGATCTTCACTTTTTTAGTAGGTTTATTTAAATATCTGCAACAACTTCAGAACATAAAACAATAAAAATCAAAATCTACTTGCAAAGATTCATAGGCCGTTCGTAATTTCTTATCGTTATTTTGACCATGGTAATTTTGTACACCCACTATCACGGCATAAGAAAAGCTTGCATTCTAAATTTTAATCAGTTTCAAGTGATTGTCATTGATTACTTATGTTAATTTAAAGTTTCATGTATTTTCTTTAGTTTTTTTTTACGTTGTAAACATAAATAAATTATTAAGCCAGTTTTTTTTTATTTTTTCATTCCATTTAAGTTATATTATGCAATGCATGTATTTATTGTCGAAATACTATTTTTCTACTCGTACGACCTCTCAAAAAAAAAATTTGACAACACTGGTCTCTCTACAAACGACGTAGATCTGTAGTTAACATCTGAGACGCTACATGACGCCATCGTTGCTGGGGTCGTTGCGTTTTCAATCTTTATGTCCCTAATCTCTGAATCAGTTATTGGAAAAATGGATGACCAATAATCCAGGCCGAACAGTAACAACGTTCCAGATAAGCAAAATTTTTGAGAAGCATGTGTACCGAATAATGCAATAAATGCTTTTAAAAAAACTGGTATTATGCCCTTTGATCCTGACACGTTTTCTGACGCTGATTTTGCAGCAGCAGAAGTTATGGAAGAGACCCACGAAGCTGCTCAAAATAATCAAGAAAACTTGGAGAATAATGAAGAAACCTCTGCAACCAACCCACTTCTACGTAGTTCTCTATTTCTTGGGCCAAGTACACGACCGGATATCCCTCCAGCAATTACAAATCAGGTATCAGACCAATGTGAAGTCGAAGTGGAAAGTTCCTTTACCGTAACCCCTGCTGATTGCAATCCTCTTCCAAAAATTAAAGGAAAGAGAGCAGCTCAAAAACGAAAGTCTGTTGGTACCGTTTTGCTCATGAGTACCCCATACAAAATCATACTTGAAGAGGAGAATAGGAAAATAAATGAACTAGAGGCTAAGGAAAAAGAAAAACAAGTCAAAATCAGAAAGCACGAAAAAAGTTAAATTAAACAAGAAGACAAAAAAAGTAGTAAAGGAAAGTGATGACTCGAGCAGTAACAGCGGATCAGAATCAGAAGAGTGCATCTTTTGCTGCGAAAAATACGCTGCTTCTTTGACTGGCGAAGGATGGATCAGGTGCATTAAATGCCTAAAATGGGCTCATGATCAGTGTGCCGGGGTCGATGAGAACGATTGCGATTTGAGGGTGATTTATGTTTGCATCAAACCCAAACCTATCGAGTTAAGAAAAATATCAAGTATTAAATTAGTTAAGGCATTAAAAGTTGCTTAAGTTAATTTTTGTTAAATAATGTTGAGCAAATTTTTGGTTACTCCCTTAACAGTATTATAAATGTTTTAATGCTTTGTATGTTATGTTTTTATGCTTTTTTTATAAATAAACTAATGTTTTGCATTTATTGTTATATTATTTATGTAGTGTAGTAATAAAATAATGTTTTGAAAATAGGATCATTTTGCCCCATGTGGGAGATTGTTTTACCTCTAGCATTTGGGGTAAAATGATCCTTTTGTAGATATTAACAAACATCATTGTCATTCCAAAATGTGAAGAAAATCAACATCTTTTTAAATACTAAATTGTTATCAAATGGACACCAAATCCTCTACTAAAGACAAATAAATGTATATCCCTGTACTTGCAAAAATATAAAGAAAATAGCCTTAAGCGCTTCTTTTTAAATATAAAATAAAAACCCCGATCTCTCTAGTATTTGTTTCGGCAATTTAAACTAACGAAAATGTCTCGATAAACCTTCAGTTGATTCATCATGCATATAGAAGTCATTAAAATAACCAATATTGTCTAATAACTTTTTCAAAAACTCTTAAAATAAGAAAAAAACAAAAATTGCAAATATTTAAGTCTGGTGACCTCGGTAGCCATGCAACTGGTCCATTTCGACCGATTCACTTATTCAGGACTAATAAAATTTGGATATTTAATTATCTTTCTTTCTTTCTTTCTTTCTTTCTTTCTTTCTTTCTTTCTTTCTTTCTTTCTTTCTTTCTTTCTTTCTTTCTTTCTTTCTTTCTTTCTTTCTTTCTTTCTTTCTTTTCTTTCTTTCTTTCTTTCTTTCTTTCTTTCTTTCTTTCTTTCTTTCTTTCTTTCTTTTCTTTCTTTCTTTCTTTCTTTCTTTCTTTCTTTCTTTCTTTCTTTCTTTCTTTCTTTCTTTCTTTCTTTCTTTCTTTCTTTCTTTCCTTTCTTTCTTTCTTTCTTTCTTTCTTTCTTTCTTTCTTCTCTTTCTTTCTTTCTTTCTTCTTTCTTTCTTTCTTCTTTCTTTCTTTCTTTCTTTCTTTCTTTCTTTCTTTCTTTCTTTTCTTTCTTTTCTTTCTTTCTTTCTTTCTTTCTTTCTTTTCTTTCTTTCTTTCTTTCTTTCTTTCTTTCTTTCTTTCTTTCTTTCTTTCTTTCTTTCTTTCTTTCTTTCTTTCTTTCTTTCTTTCTTTCTTTCTTTTCTTTCTTTCTTTCTTTTCTTTCTTTCTTTCTTTCTTTCTTTCTTTCTTTCTTTCTTCTTTTTTGAATATATTGTTTATTTCGATGACTTACATAGTAAAAAAAGTTTTAAGTTATAAACAACACCCTGTAGATATTTTATAAAATGGAACAACTAAAATTCATATTTCATTAAATTGATATTATTTGTACAAATTTGTTAAAATCAATTAACTTAAATAAAAAGTTTCTAGTTGCAGTAAAAAAGCTTATTTTTAACTTATAGAAATACTGTCCCAGCATTTCATCGAGATAAAAAATTTAATTAGAATCCTAGAATACAAGAAAGTGGGTTTCCAGCCTCACCAGGCGTTGATATTTTTCTAAGAATCGTTCATTTATCCTACTGCATATCTGAGTAATAGTTTGTTATTCAGAACAAAACACGATAATAAAAACATTAGTTAAGAATACTAAAACCTACCTACTACAAAGAATATTTTATTGATTTACACTTATTTTAAACAGGATAATCCTAAGGAATCTGCTTATTAAATTGAATATTACATTTACTTACTTTACTTTTAGCAAAATTGACAATCCTAAATAAAAATCCAAAAAGAAACTTTTACACCAAACAGATCACATTCTTTTCGTCACATTTTTGACTTTCACTCACTTCACCCGAAATCGCCAACCGTTCAAATATTGACCAAAAATGAAAGTAATATCAATACCACACTTGAATCGCACGTGTAAATGTTTGACAGGACAACGAAATTACTGTTCATACGAGTTCTCCATCCGATGTGGTATGATATGACTGAACGCGAACCGAGAAGAAGAAAACGTCTTCAGGATGCGCTTGTTGCCGGTTTTAATCGGTAGGAAGTACCCATACATTTCAGGAAAGTGAATGTACAAGTGTCTTAAATAAATATTATACAATGTGCGAAGAATTTCTGCCTATCTGACTGGTCATTGGTCTAATCGAGACGAAGCGTTAAATAAGGCAAACGTGAAAAATACCAACCTAACTTAAATTAGGTTTGTTTTACAATAAAAAAAAGCAAAAAAACTGGTATCAGTCCAACGCAGACAAGCCTAAAATAGTTATTTGTGTACCAAGGCCGTTAAGTAGATCTTATTTGGGAATCAAAAATTTGTTGCCGAGGATTAGCCGAGGCCAAGAAACTTCTGGTGAGAACAAAAAATATCATACGACCGAAGTGCACACAACATTTAGAGGTATTTTCTCGTCAAATAGGTCCTACAATTTTTTTACAAGTTCTGATTATCACCGATCCATCAACGATCTAATCGAATAATTTGATTTCTTATTTGAGTTAACTTGTTAAGCATTTTTGTACTGTCTTTCTTACCGGACGGTCACAGCTTACAGGGCAGGTTAGGTCGAGGTCATACATCTTTTTTATGCAGCGTGCATGGTTTTTGTGATAAGTGTAGGAATACATCAATGCAAAGTATTAAATATTTGTTCATGAGTGTATTAAAAACTGTGGCATTTTTAGTATAATAAATAATACTATCCCTATTCACCCCCTTACGAGTGAATTTTAACCTCAGAAAGACAATTTGTGCAGGGTAGGGATGGCTATTATTGTTATACTCTTCACAGTAGTCTGTGAAGAGTATTATGCATTCGCTTTGTAAGTCTGTTTGTCTGTCCGTCACGTTTTTTGTCTACACGATGAGTTAAAAACGGAAAACGATATCAACTGGAAAACTTCAGAAAAATCAAACTCTATAAGGGAACAAAGCCTATTGATTTAAAAAAATTTTAATAAAAATGTGGGGGTTAAGGCGGGTTGAAATTATTATTATTATTGTGTTGGATTCAACTTTTGGTAAACTACAAATCCAACACCAGAAGTGATTCAAAACGTTCATCTCATCCGTCCTACCTATCCGGTTATCCATTAAAAGGTCGAACTATTTTAGCGATGCAACATATGAATCGTGTTTTTATTGTTTAATTTAAAGAAAGATTTGGATGATAGTATTTTGATTTGAAGAATGATTAAGAATTATTACTTGGTTATAGGAAGAAGAATTGCTGATTTGATGAAGTTTTAACGTCTGAAGGATCTTAGAAGTTCCATACCATTCATCGTAGATGAGACCTTGAAGAAGCCCTACATCATTGAGATAAGTCCCTTATTTTTTGTACTGAATACTAAGCAAAAATAGATAAATTCAAAAGTCATTTTATTATTAGAAACTCTTGTAGATTAGAATTTGGTTTTCCTGTATCTACTGAAGGCATATCTTTTATTTATCATTTAAATTTAATTGTAATTTTTGTTTCCGTATATTTTCATCAATTACTTTATACGTAGAGATATGCAGATTTAAATATGGTGGCGTCCAGTTTCTAATTACAGAGTGTTTGAGTCATTATATCCAAGTGGCCCTACTCACGACCCTTAGTACAGAGCTTTAATCACTAAATTGTAAAAACAATATCAGAGGTTATAAACATTGACACCCTCGTTACAAAGCCTTGGCGGATTTCATAGATCTTAGAAACTTTAGATACCGCATCCGCCATGATAAATGAGTTTTAATGTGACACTGCTGACTTGACAGAATCGGCGCAAAGTTAGAGGACCTAAAGTTATAGTGCTAACTTGTGTAGTGTATTTAAAACATTCTAGTTTTATTAATTAAAAAAATTTAATTTAATGTTTTATGTTGTGTTATTAGTACATTATTTAACAAGTGTATAATGTAGACCATATTACACGAGTGTAGTATGGTTCACACGAATTGTGTACGATTAAATAGTATGTTTAACTGCAGTAAACTTGTTTATAACCTGTATAGATTAAACTAATCTTCTACGAGTTGGTGTTAACATGGTGATAATTTTATGCAAGTAATATGTAACATTTCATAGCAGAAGTGAAGACTATAAAAACTCAAAAATAGGTTTTTATATATTAAGAGAAGTGTTCTCTTTCTATTGAGTCTAGTAAAGTAAAACACAGTTTATTATCCTCCTGAGTCAATGCATTTTTACATCCGCGAAAATCATTCTTGAAAACATTTTCTTCTTCAATTTTCTGGCCGAAATTAGTTTATTTCATTTTTAAAGGCATCAATCGCTTCTTCGGTTGATGTAAAACGTAAACCCCGTAAGTTATCCTTAACCCGTGAAAATAAGAAGAAGTCATTATATGCTAGATGCGGACTATACGGCGAATGACCCATTATTTACCTATATATTTCGTGCATTCAAATACTTACCTAATTGTTCGAGTAGCAATGTTTGATGCAAGATGATCCTCTTGGACGTTTTCCGCGAACCTTTTGAAGAACCTGAGACGAACAAACTGTAGTGTACCATTCTGAGTAAACAGTAGTTCAAAAAAAGTGGCGACTCTTTTTCAATGACCCAAAATGACATTTATAGCTTTTTTTGGGCTCGTAGAAATATACTTATGTTTCATCATCATATTTTACACCAAATTAGACAATCCACGCTCAAACGATCTAGTGTAAAGCTGACCCATCTCACACGGTGTTCTTTTGAAACGAAAGTCAAGTTGTGAGGAATTTACCGAGAACAAACCCAGCTAGCACATAACGTTGCCAAGCCTTTCGGCGATGTTGTTTTTAAAGGAACGTAATAACATACCCATACAACGTAATTGCAACGTTCATGAGAAGTTGTTGAGGGAAATCAAAACCTCGCGAAACATCTATTTGTTACTTACGTATTTAACCTGCCTGTTATGATAACACAACGTAATAAAGTAACTTGCTAAAAAAGTTTCCACGAGAAGTACTATGGACATCATCTTGTTTTCGAATGTAGTCCTTCGTTTGTCATAACCAACAAAACATAAAAAAAATGTCACTTGTCACTTTCTCTTGTATGTGTTTGAGATTTTAAAGAAATTGGAAACTATACGTTTGAATAAGTTTGGTAAATTTTCTTCTTTTCAATAAAATAGATACATATTTTCTAATTTATTGTCTGTTGTTTTAGATGGCAAAATTTCAGTTTCCAGCTACAATAAAAAATAAATCATTGTAAACAAGTAGATACAATTAAATGACTGCTTATATTTTACACGATAATAGGGATCTTATTGATTCCTTAATACTATAGAAGTAACGATATTAAACAATGAAAGTATCGATATTTAGGCACTGATACTGAATTACCAATACTACCGCCATAGCGATACTTAGAAACAAGTATCGTATCGCTATGTGTGTGGTCAGGGATTATAAGGTTTGTTCAAATATTTGTACCGAAATATTTTAGTTTTCGCATGTGGTGAAACTTGATAATATGATTAAGCGTTACCACTGTTTTTCTGTTATTTAATTATAAAGTAAATTGCGAGTTATTGACACTATAACTTGTACCAGGTAGAGTACCAGTAGAGAAAGAAAAGGTGTCAACTACAGAATATACTTTACTGATGCACATTTGTTTTTAGTTAAGTTCCCCACTCCATCCTGTTGAATGGGGGTTGTCAGCTGTTTAAAAAAAATCTTTTACTTGTTCGATACTTTGTTACTTGATACTTATAGATATCAATATCTTTAACATAATATCGAACAGTATCGATGCCTGTACCACAAAGTATCTCACATGATACCGATACCTTTAACCGATACTCATAGCCCTACTCCCAACTATAAAAATACAAAAACAGAGAAGCTGTGTCACTTTTTAACATTTTTTTTTAACAAAGTAAGTAAAAATCAACTAAAAATAGGTGCAACGATTTAATTGAGCATATTTTTCATTTTCTTTATACATATTATTTTCTTTAATAATAAACAAGTAAATTTATTATCTACAAAGTTATTTTTACAGAAGAAACTATATAATTAAGTACACATATTTATTTATTTATTTATCTATCTATTTGTTTACAGTACGCTATAGATATAAAGTTCAATTAAAATAAAAAAGAAATTAATAAAATTGTCATAGTATAAAATTCGACGCTTAAAAAAAACCTACTAAAATGTCATAATTTGAAAAATACTTATTGTAATTGGATATCAGTGGGTCTACAAATAAATTCTGTCCATAGTTAGTTCTATGAGTATATAAAATTGTTTAATCTGCCTAGTAAGTCTGGCAGGAACAAGGAATCTAATAAAATGAGGAATAAACTATAGGCCCCTGTCAAAACTTACACCAAGATCATTTATAATTTGCTCAACACTTAGTTCAGAACCTGCAATGACATAATCATGCATAATGGTATTAGCTGTTTTATTAAACCTTATGACTTTACATTTATTGATCTTCAGTTTAATCAAGTTATATCGTATTAAAACTATGATTAGTACCAGTTGTAGGCAAATATCTTTTTTTAGCATCATACATCTGCCATTTTAATAAAAATCTAGTGACCTTTGAAATATACCTTATATAAATACACTTTTTACTACTTTTCTACAAACGTTCACCATTTTAGCTACTAGTGAACCTTTGCAATATAGGTACCTTATTATACTCTTTCGTGCAAGCATTCAATGTTTTCGATTCTAGTGAACCTTTGAGATATTCCTTATATACCCTTTATACCTACTTTTGTCCAATTTGTCAGTGTTTTATAGCTACCTTATAGTATCACACATGTGTTATTGCGTTTTACCTGTATTATTAATACCTACCTCTACTTGTATGATATTGGTACTTAATTTCAAAAGCTTTTTAATAATAAATTTATAAAAAAAAAATTATTTTGTTTTCTTCAGATTTTACTATATCCTCAATATACTATTTTGAATATAGTGTATCCAAGGATGGACATAACTATATTTATTTTAAATTTTT